CGGGTTCTCACCGGACCAGGCTCTCACATCACCAAGCGCGAAGCGCCGTGAGATATTCGGCGAGTCGCATGAAGGGTGCGCTGCATCCTGCTAAGGGTGTTCGGCATCTTGTGCTTACTTCCTTGCGTATGGATGACAGCTGGGTATGACTTAATCTATTTTCTGGTGCTTTCACTTCCAGAGACATCTGTAAGCACTGTGTAACTGCCTAGAGGGTGCTTGACCATTTTAACACAACGTGGTGCGATCATCCCCCTTGCGCGGAGTGAGGGTTATCGACCACTCGACCACCATTATGGTTACCGCCAAAAAAAAAACAGAGGTAACAAAAACCCCGGTAACCTGTTGCCCAGTTCACGAAGTGAATTGGCTTATTGTACAACGTCATTGCCAAGCGACGAAAACACAATCCCGATGGCAAACACCGGGGGGGGGGTGCGTACTCATGGTTTGCGTGCCGTCGCGGTTAGGCAATTGACCGCGCATCCTCGAGAGGACGGAGCAGACTAGATCACTGACGGCCAATCGTTCTTTCCTACGTTGCCAAAGGTGGCTCAAATGTTTCCTCTTTCATCTTGGTAGCTGCGTGGAGGGACGGGTTCATGCCTGTTGTCCCCGAGATTTCTTCGACGATAGATCACGACCCGCTTTCGAGACGGCGAGTTACCGTTGCCGTCTTTCCTCTGGATAGGATTAAAAATTCCTGGCGCATGTTTTTGTCGTTTTGTTCACAAATTGCAGCGCGTTCTAGCTTGTCTCCTCGCCTGACTCCGCCACCATCTCGTCACAGGAAGACACTAAAAACTCCCAGAGGAGCGGTATCTGTCGCTGCGCAACGTGATATCACGAAGGAAATATCATTGTGACCGGGGCTTGGCTCGTATTTTCCCCCACTTGAAAAAGCCCACAAGGGATTGTATTGGAATTGGTATAGGTTGTCCCGTATGGACGAACGTCACCGTATTCCAAAAGAGTGTCAACATCTGTGTGCCTTCCCCCCATCGAAAGGTAGTCCCGCCCGATTCAGAGCGCGTCGAAGTTTGGGTGCACCCTTGTGCGCAGCCTGCTCTCGCATGCCCGAGTTGCATTGGCCCAAAATGCCTGCTGTCTAGGCTACAGACTTCAAATCTGGCGCGGGGGCTTGGGTGGGCATCAAACTTAGGCAGCCCAGGTAAACATGGGACCTTGAACGCCGCTGATCTCCAGCAGTACATGCGGAGAGGTATGTACGGACGGTGCCTGCGTGCTGAGCCTCGCGGCGGTGCCTGCGCGTGCTGGAGCTAAGCCTGCGCTCACCTGGCTGGGCTTGGGGACATTGTTGTACACCTTCCAAAAATCCTCCACGGTCGAGAACTCCGCAAGGCTCTGCATGCTGTCTCCCCAGTCCGCGCTGGACTTTGCCACCTGTTGGACGGAGGATCAGGATAAGCGAGATCTCGCGGTTGGCATCACTTTCACAAGCTGGAGAGGTCGACGTTGCTGCTGCGTTTGCTGAGAGATGTGTACCAGAGGTGATACAAGACATCACCCCCCCCTCCCCCCCGGGGTTTGCCATCGGGGTTGGGTTTTCGTCGCTTGGCAACGACGTTGTAAAACAAGCCAATTCACTTCGTGAACTCGGCAACCAGGTTACCGTTTTTTTTTTTTTACCTCTTTTTTTTTTTNGGATGATCGCACCACGTTGTGTTGAAACGATCAAGCACCCTCGAGGCAGTTACACAGTGCTTACAACTGTCTCTGGAAGTGAAAGCACCAGAAAATAAATTAAGTCATACGCAGCTGTCATCCGTACGCAAGGAAGTAAGCACAAGATGCCGAAAACCCTTAGCAGGATGCAGCGCACCCTTCATGCGACTCGCCGAATATCTCACGGCGCTTCGCGCTTGGTGATGTGAGAGCCTGGTCCGGTGAGAACCCGGCGTGCTCCGTCCCGGCTTTGTAGGGATGCGAGGTCAACGGTCTAACGACTACGGCATGCACGACGATGACTACACCCCCCTCGCTGTAAGCGATTCCCAAAGCTCGATTTTTTTCTACGGCAGAAAGAGTAGTGTCGTCCAAAACGGTGGCGTTGGACCCGTCTCGTCGACAGCTTTCTGAAAACGTACCGTTTGATTTGTGCATGCTCTCCGTGGCGAAAAAATCGGGCCTTGAAAATCGGTCCAGTGGTGTGGTATCTTACGTCACCAGCATACTGTACGGTACCAGTACGGTACCATGGGGGTCCCTGATTATCTAGTGCCATTAGGGGCCCAGAATTTTCACCGGCACTATTCGAAGTACTGACAATGACGTGGAAATTCAGTGCGTGCCCGCCGAAAACACCGGCCTTAGTGCGGGCATTTGGCAATATTCAACCGGCTCTGAACAGGGACCCTTCACGACTGCTGTTGTACAAATCGAACGGAGGGGGGTTGCGGGTATTGGACCATCCGCGTCCGGGGCTCTAAGACCATACCCAGGTTGAAAGGAAGTAGGGGTCAAGTCCCGACCAATCATGAACGCAGAGCGGGGCGTGGCACTTTGACACTAACATGCGACATGCCTCTCTGCCACTCACCCCCGCGCCCGCCTCATCAACAACCTTGCTGAGGGGTACGAGAGCAGCCGACACACCGCACGCACCCACCAAGGTACAGAGCAAAATCAACGAAATATGACCAACCACACCTTGTGTTCCCAAATACACCACGTGTTCTGGAGCGGGTGAAGCTGCTCTGCACTCCCATTTGCCATGACTGCGCCTTTGGTTCTACCGCCTGCTGTGTTTCTGCGTGTGTTCCTCTGTTCTTGCTGAGGCCGCTCGTGCCTTTTGCTACGCGCGCCGCGCCGAATCCAGGCGACGGGAGTACCCCCCTTGGACGACGCTTGTACAGTGCTGTAGTACACTTTGCGATGACCCCGACCTGAGGAAATCGAATGTGCCCGTTGCCTGTTGCTGTGGTTGCGTTTACCCATGCTGTGTAAAGCAGCAGCATGGCAGACGACTTTGATAGTGCCAAAGAGCACGATGATTTCGAAGGGCCAGGTGGTGTCGTTGCCGATTCCGCTGCTGCGACTACTATAAAGGACGATGGAGACAGCATTTACCACCGTTTAATCAAGGAGCAGCGGTTCGAGCTGGAGCAGCTCAAGAGGGCGGCGAGGGAGGCTTCGCCCAGTAGCAAGTGAGTGAAGCTCTGACATTAATTCAATACAATTGGCGGTACCCGTGTGTGTTGCAAGGTCTGTCGGCGAGGTTAGATTCGTATGTTGGGTCTTCTTTATAAGTGTATACGCCGTGATATCTAATGCTGTACGCCGCAGCAGCCGTTATAAAATTCAAATACTGCGGTGTACAACAGGAGTTGTTCAGTTGTACATGACGTGGGGGCGGCATGCATGTTGTCGACGGAAAGTGAGGCGTGGTTTGCGTCTTGTGGCTATTGCTGACACGTCGTAAATGGGGCAGACTCTGTGTTTGATCAGGTTGACAACGACGGCAGCTGCAACGTTTCATGCACATCCACAGATATCCGTAGCCAACAAACACACACAGAAGTACTTTCATTTTCGTGGGCATCTCCAAGCTCGCACGTTGACTGCTGCAGAAGCGACAGACATGCAACACGCCGGCGCCGGTGCATCAGTCGGTGATCGCGACTCAAGGCCGGTGCTCCGTTCATCTTTCGCAGCCTCTCGTCTAATCGTAGTGGTGCTTACGAGCTTCGTGATGATGGGATACCCCGCGTTAGTGCGTCAAGCCACACTGGCTCTATATTATCTCTGTTGCCCCGGATGCATCAGTAGACTACACCATATTCTCCTGCCCCCCTTTTCAGTATTTTTATGCTTGCGAGTTCGTAACAAGTTCATCTCTATGCACAGACAATAGTCCAGGTTATAATTTTGATTTCCAATTTCCTGTCCTGTCGGACCCGATCATCCTTCTTATGTATGTCCGCGCGTTTTGCACCCCTCTCCTGCTTTTGCCCGTGAACGATTAGACATGCGCTTGAGCGCCCTTCCTCCGCCACCCTTAACGACGCCGAAGACACGCTACCACCGTCACCCACGAGTAATATCAGACCACGGATAGTACACAGCGATACCCACGCCAGTGGCGGCGGCGGCGGCGACAGTGGCTGTGAAACCGGTAGCACATCGTACGTTGGGGAGCTTTCGGCGGGAGGCCGGCACCATTACGGTAGCAGCACCGCCGACGGTGATCGCCTCGGCGGCGGAGCCGAGGGTCAGCGGTATGCCGGAGTCGGCGACGTTGGTGGAGGTTTCTTGGCGGCAATAACGCGAGAGAGGACGGATAAGTCTCGGAGTGGGGCGGGTACCAAACGCGGGGAAGAGGAGAGCGGCGGCCGTGCTAGCGCGGACGGCTTGGGCGGCGACAGCGGGCGATTCTTGCGAGGCGTTCGCGACCCTTCCAAGGCCGCTGCGGATAGCGACACTGGCCGGATTAGCAGCAGGGGTGCTGTAGACGCGCAACTTGCTGCCTTTTCGGCAGCCGACAGCTATCACGCCAAGGAAAGGTCTTCTGGGGGCACCGCAGTTGGGTTTGACCCACTACAGACTGGCGGTGGAGGTGGTGGTGGTAACGTTTCCCGGCGACGGGAAGAACAACCCCCAGTCGAGAAGCAGCCATCATTGACGGCCATGTTGCGGCGTGGGAGTAAGGGCGACGAGATCACAACGGCAGCCGCTTGTGCTACGGGCAAGGCTTCCGGTACCGCCCCGAAGGCGCACCCAACACCGGGAACGACGGCCGTGCGTTTCACCGGCGGTGATGGCGCGTCCGCCATCGCGAACGAGGCCCTCACATCGCCCGACCGGGGGCTCCACTCCGTCTTCGGCGCTGTCCCCGGCGCCGCTTCAGCCTTCGGCAATGTGGAAGAAGGTGGTGGTACCAGAGGTCATGGCGGCGGCCGCGCGCGGACCCGTACGCCGTCGGCTGCCGCCGCGGACGGAGCCGGACCCGTTGCACGGCCCCGGTCTGGTGGTGTCGGCGGCGGTGGTGTCGGCTTCGAGCCGACCATCAACGGCCGCAGCGACATGGGCCCGCCGGCAGCCATCGAACCGCCGCCGCCCCCCGCCACCAAACACACCCACGTCAAGGGTTACGCCGACAGCATCTTTGTCGGGCGTAAGGCCGCAGAATCCCCCGGGCGCCACCGCAAGGTCAACGAGTTGGTGGAGCGCCAGGTTGGTGCGGGCGGGCATTTGTTGGGGAGTTCTTGGGCCGGCGTGGGGGGCAGCAGCGGTAGCTACCATCTTGGCGGCCGGGCGGCGGCGGGTGAAGGTGGTGGTGCTTTCAGCAGCGCGTCATGGGCGGCAAAGCTTGTAACCAAGCGGGAAGAGCAGGTACGGAGTCGTCGAGCCTTTTTTGTGTTTTGTTGTTGCTGCGACTATGCAGCGTTCGGTTTCTGAGCACACCGCATCAATAATTCTTGACACCTCCCTCCCCCCCACGCCCCGCCCTGCTGTTCATTGCACCTTTTCGAAGGAAAACGTCCGTTAGTCAGTTACAGAAGGACGTCCCGTTTGAAATTCGTTTTGGCCCCCACCACGCTTGACACCCCTGCCACAGAGCGTGTTGGTGAAGCAACTGGAGCGCGAGCTGGCTTCGACGGTTTCTGCCCTAAAGGACGAGAGGCGTGAGAGGAGGGGGCAGACCGAAACGCTCAGGCGCAAGCTCGAGGAAACCAGGGCCGCCGTGGGGTACAGAGAGGCTGAGCTCCAGAGGTAAGCTTGTCGGGATAGTGGCTTCAGCAGCGGGAGGCGCCGGCCTCAGCGACGCTTGCTGTGTTCGTCGCACGTGCTGTATTCGTAGCCCACATACACCCACTTTTTTGGCCGAGCTAGAGGGGTAGGCTTGTCGGGGTACTTGCTGCGGTGGCGGGGTTCCCCCTCTTCGAGCAACAACGGCCTTTGCATCGATTCGTGGCTTGATCCCAACTAAATGCCGAGAAGAAGCCTCCAATAGGGAGGAAACCTCGATACAGACTGAGGAATAGCCACCCTTTGGGGCAGTAAGACTGCACTCAAGGGGGTTTGAGTCAACTGAACGCCTTATCCTCAAAAAGCTCAACCTGCACGCAAGCCTCGAGGAGAAATCATGACGCATGGTATAGACGTATGCAGAAGATATTACATTTGTATCGGTTGCGTCCTCGAGGTGCTCCACAGGCTCAAGCGAGACAGGTCTACCGTGAGCGACGCTGACGCTCGAAAGTTATCTTGAGTTAGCTGTCGGGCTGTGGTGCTGAGGTGTTGACTCCGGCTACACCTTCGATCACTGCAGTCGCGCATCCCCCTACACGACCACCGTTCGGGCGAAAGATTCGCCGATTTGTTTCTTATTTTTTTGTTGTTTCATCTGTTTGATGTTGTGTTCGTGGAGACCATCAAGACAAGTGAAGCCCCCGAAAGGCCTCCACACCCATTCACAAGTGCCCCAGACATGAAGTGCGTGTTTCAGTCGCAACAGAACTTAGAGAAAGTACTCTCTTTCATGTGCCAGTATCGAACTTTTGGTTTTGTCATTGCTATCGTGCCCCGTGCGTCTGCTCGCGATGCAGACGAGAGCGCATGACAACCACTCTGATGGGAGAGCTGGAGGCTCTGCAGTCTCGCTGCGACAGGCTGGTTGCCTCACGAGAGGAGAGGGCCGAAGAGGCGGACAAGACCATGGCCCGACTCCGCGAGGTATCCACGAGATCTACGTCGGGCAGACATGTTGTAGCGCCGTTCTTAGCGAGTCAGAGCGTGGAAAATGATTTGGAGTCGGGTTTGAGTTTGGGGTGCGCAATGCTCGAGGCACCGCCTAGTCTTTCCTTGTGCTTGGCGGTGCCATGTGCCAGGCCAGTCGTAAGGAAATTCTCGATTCCACCCTGCTTTCAGCTCTAGTGGCCGGCCTTTCCTGGCCTACCGTTTGGGCAAGATTTCCACCACGGACTCCAGTTTTTTTTTTGGCCGCTTGCATCTTGATCCCCTCCCCCCCACCCTAACACGCAATGGCTAACCGCTGAGGAATGCAAAACACCAACACCCCCGCCCCTCCCCCGACACACTACTGGTGCCCCGCTGCTGCCCTTGGAAAGGATAACCGCGAGCTGGAGGCTAGGTTGAGGCAGGCGGATGCTGCCGCAGCGGAGGCGCGGTCAGCTCGGGCAGGGGCGGACGCGGAAAGAGTGCGGATGGGGAGAGACCTGCAATCTGCGCTAGCAAAGGTGGGCACAAACGGTGAAGGTTTCATACCGGCGTAGTTTAAGAAAAAGAAATGGTACTAGCATAGAAGAGTTTATCCCCGTAGCTGTGACGATGAGTTTTGGACAGCGCAGGGCGCAGTGGAATAGCTCCAAGTCGGCTTTGAGTAGGAGTGGCAATCCTGACGGGGAACTTGCTGCTTGGAGGGGGGGAGTTTTTCACACGACGCGATGTGCTTTTGTGCCTTGTCCGCGTCAAGGTTTCGCCGTGGAAACGATGTGTGGCAATATGGTTCCATTCGTTTTGACAGTTTGGTGTTCCGAGTCGCACCGCGAACTTGGGGAGTCATTGAGTGATCCGTAGAACGTGCGCCATGGAAGCGAAACGCTTCATCGGCACATTTGCAACCAACAGGCGGGTGTGCATTTACACCTGGGAACCAAGTCATACCCGCTGACAATGATTACAATTATTGACCACGAGGTGTCCGTCGGCTAGCGTCTCAACCCCCGGGGCATTAACGGGGGAGTCCCAGGAGTTCCAAATTGTATGTACGCAGTAATTTCGTTGTTTATGTTGAGCTCACGAAGGGGGGGGAGGCGGATTAGGTACTTACCGCTGTCTCCATTTTTTAAAGAGGTTAGCGCTTGACATTGCCCCCCCCCCTCTTACCCGAAACGCTGCCTAGGTAACTTTACTCGAGAATAGGGCGGAGGAAGAAGCGGGCGCTGCCACGGCCGCGGCAGACAGGGCAGCTAGGGTGAGGGTTAGGGTTAGGGTTGTTCTTAGGCTTACCATCAGCATGCTGGATTTCACAGACGAGTCATGGGGGCTCGACAACTGCAGCGGCATCCCTACTGCATACCTGAGATGTTTTTCCTTTTTGGCGGCTTGGCGGGGGAGAAAAATACGACGCGATTTCCGTACCACGTTTTTTTTACTCCGCTGGGTAAAGTCGGTTTTCCTTTTGCACAGCTGTCTTCAGTGTGAGCAATGTGCCTGGTGTTCTCCCTGATTTGTTCCGCTTTCGAAGTGGACGTGCAGGATTCCTTTCGTTTTGCTGTCAGCCACGCCTGTGTCTGTTGTAACTGTGTTGTCCTACATGAGACGTGACCATGACCATTGTCGACATCGACACCAACGCTTGGGCTGATCCGTTTGGTTCTGCTCCTCTTGTCTGGTGTGTTGCCGTTTTCATGTGACTGCCGCTGTGGTACTGTATCAGGACCTTCTCGACTCGAAAGGGGAGTGCGAGGAGCTGCGGTCAGAACTGGAAACCCTGCGGAGGCGTGTAGAGGAGGAGGGGACCGGGCGTGATGTCGGCTCCCTGCGGGCACAGGTAACAACAAGGGCCCGACGTGTTGTATGTGGCACCATCACTTTTTGCCTGCCAGGATTTCGCAGACTGTTGGTTTCATACCTCAAGAATGCTATCACAAAAAGAGTTGCCATCCTTCTGCGCCGTGTGCAAGGGTCTGGATATCTCTGACATTCCAAATTTGCAGCATGTGTACGACCGCGGGTCGGAGAGGTCAACGACGCTGTTTGTAGGCATCCTCGTTGGCCAAGACTTGCCTCGCACCACGCCTCGTCATGTGTCGGCGCGACCCTTGCTGCTACAACAGTGTTCACTTCCTTCACCTGGAGTTCTCCTCCTCGCTCACCCTTGAACCTTCGCATTGCATCGCTAAGGCTTCAACCGAAGCACAACGAACGCCGACAAGCTTGAGCTTGTCTTCATGCCGCAAGGCGCGCATCCGAATTATTGCAACAATACCGAAGAAAATCGTGGCACCTGACGTTCCATTCCAAGTGGTCTCATCCGTTTCCTCTCCTCCAGTGTCCTCTCGAGCTCCGCAAGTGACAGGTGGTCCTCCCCCTCGTTACCAAACCTTCCTCCGCTTCTCAACTCTGCTCTTCTTTTAAACTCGTCTATTTCGGGGGCCGCCTTGAGCAAATGCCGTCCAGGGGATTGACCTTGTTCGTTGTGCTTGGATTCTCTCCCTCCCTCCCTCCCTCCCTCCCACCCTCCACATGGCAGGTGGCGGACCTGGAACGGCTCCTGGAGACAGCGAACCAGAGATGCGTGGCTCTCGAAGCTAGGCTGGGTTTGCTAGAGAAGGAGCTGGTGGAGGCGGAAGGGGGGGAGGTGCGCTCGTGTGTTTTCGCTGGGTGTGATAATATCCCAATGTCAAAAGAAACGATGACCGAACTGGCACCGTTATACCGCAGGATAGCCCCGACAAGGAAAATATCGGTATATCAACACTTCCACATATTGTTGTAGCAAATGTTAGAATGAAGCTGGAAGTAACTCTACTGGATGTTGTTTCAGGTGCTTTGTTAGGGCCTCCTTTGTTGCCAGTACGTACGTACGTACGTACGTACAACAGTTCTCTACCAGTCCAACAGGTGTGTTTGGCTTTCGTACGGACACTTGAGCACCGGCGACGAATCGTCTGCATCCACGTGAGTGGTGATACCCTGCATTGGTGCATTGGTGATAATAACCATGCTCCAAAAATATTGTCACGACGCGAGCGGCCTAAGCTCTTTCTTCGCCCCATGCCACACCTTCGAAGCTTCCTTCTTAGAGTCAGCTAGTCGGTCGTGAACCTATCATTGGGTGACGACCCCCCCTCATGATCGCGTGTGCTGGATGTTCCCGAACCGGTTTCCTCTTTGCGTGTTTAGGTGGAAGCACGCGCGCGGCTGAGGTGGGCGTTAGGCCAGCTGGGGGAACCTACCCCTACTCCTCACGGGCAGCCGCGCGAGCGCCGAGACACGGAGAGATCCCCCAATGGCGGCGGGGTCGGCCGGGGGTCGGCCGACAACGGGATCGCCGGCGACCCTTCGGGGCAAGCCAGCGGCGACACCGCGGAGCCTTTAGAACGGACGCCAGGGTCGTGGGAACGACCTCTGCGGTTGCTCTCCTCGCCACGAAGCGACGAAGCGGAGGTGCCTAGGGCGGGGAAAGGGTTCGGTGGCGATGGTAGTGATGACGGCAAGGGAAGCCTTTCTGGGGGGGGCAGGGGTAGCGAGGGAGAAGCCGATGCGGTGGCTTCCGCTGACGCGGTGGCGGCGGTGATGGTCGGAGGAGCGGAGGAGACGGAGTACCGAGAACCCAACTGGCGGAGCTTGGTCCCCGCCTTGTTTCCCCCCGGATGGCGCGACTTCGCGGCTAGAGGAGAAGTCGGCGCTGGCACTACTGTCGGAGTTGCGGTCGAGCCGGAGGCGGTGGGGGCCGCCTGCATGGACCGGCCCGACGGGGCTGTGGTTGACCGACCTACGGCTACGCCGGGCGGCGGGTTTGCGAGGGATGAGGCGGGAGGGGTGCGGGGGCGACATGACAGCGGTGGGACTGCCTCCGGTTTTGATGCCACCACACGGGCTGGGGCGCGGCAGTTTGGGGGACGGTCGGCGTCGCCGGCAGGGGAAATTGCCGAGATGGATGATGATGGTGATGGTGCGTCGGAAGAGAGAAGAGAGGCCGCGCTGGACCACTTGACGGCGGAGGAGCTCAGTTTCGCGCTTGAGGGAGGCGTGGGGATGGAGTACGGAGAGTGGCGGCACAACGATAGCGACGGGCAGCTGTACGACGGGATGGGGCTAGCAGAGGATACCTCTGGTACGGAAGATGGCGGCGGCTTCGAGACGGAAGGACACAGGGTGCCCCGTTACGGATACGGTGCAGTAGACGATGACGCCGTTTTCCCCGGCGGGCATGGGGCGACATCCCGCCGTGGAAATTTCCAAGATTTTTCCCGGCGGCGACAGCCAGCTGTCGTCAGGACAAGCTCATTCGAGCCTCGCAGCCAGAGAGGTGGAAGGGGAGCGGCCGTAGTCGCACCGAGCTCCCGCAGGGCGGATACCCGGCGTGCTCACGCGGACCCGTCCGCACGAAGTCGCCGCCCGCAAAACAGGGAGCCAACGCGAGCCTCTCCATCCCCTCGCACCCGACCGAACGGCGCCAGAAGGACGCAAGCATCGTTTTCTTCTTCCGCCGGCCGGGAAGTCCGGGGTAGTAGTATCGCCCCCCGGCAACAACGAGTCAGCGTACGCGTCCCCGGCGCCCGTGCTGCTACGACGCTACCGGGCCCCAGGCACGGTAGACCTCCCCGACCCGCTCCCGGTACCGGCGCCCTTGGGCGACGGCACGTGGGCGCCCCGCCTTCGCACCGGGCGCAACCGGGGGTTAACAAGAAACACAAGAGCGGGGCGGTCGGGAGTTCCTTGGCCGTGGGAGACGGGGGAGGGCACCTGGCGGACACCACGGACGTATCGCTCGGCAGCGTGACGGATCCGCGGCGAACAGCGGCGCACGGTACTAGTCATTCCGTCGTTGACGCCATCGCCGGCGTTGGACGCAGCGGTGGTGGCAAGAAATTGTCCAGGAGATATTCTTCGCAACGTGATAGCTTGAGAAGTAGCGGCGCTAGCCGCACCGTGGTGGCGGTGGGCAGAGGGTCGTCAGCGGCGGCGGCGGCGGAACGCGCCCCCCGGGAGAGAGCTTCGACCCGCTTGGCATCGGCAAGGTTAGGTGGCGGTAGCGGCGGCGCGAGGGAGCACGTGTCGCTGATGCGGAGGAGGCGGGGGCTGGGGTCGAGTTTGGCGCCGTCGCGTACGAGGCCGGGGCCTGGTGGTGGCGACCGGAGGCTGGGAAGGGGCGGCAGCGGGGGTGGGTTGGCGGGGGCCGCGGTAAACAGCAGCACCTGCGGCAGCATCCGCGCCTGGAAACCATAGCGCTCGTCGGCTGATGGGAGGACACCTTTTCTTGTGGTACTCGCTCCTAACGTATGGCAGTAGCATGTGCTCTCGTCCTGTTTTCTGATGCCTGGCTCAATGGCAAGCACACACCGCCGATCGATGGTAGGTCGAAGGCACATGTCGGCCGGCAACGGGTGGAACAATCTGTGCATTGCGAAACAGGGCTTTTTTTGTGTGAATTTTTGTTATTATTAGCGATACTCCGGCGGAAGGGGATGTCGAAGTTTTTTTCGAACGCGACAGGATGTTGACATAATATGCCGATATTTGCAGAGGGGATTTCGGACCGAGGGAGAAGGGCATTGCCGTTTCGTGTTCCTAACGGGCATCCTTTGCGTGTTGGGTTATCAGGTGTGTTGGTGCGTTGTGTTATGGTGTGTTGTGTCTCGTCCCATATATTCTGGAGCCAGTCTAAACCTTTCAATATTTATTTGCCGTATCAGCCGGGATTGCGCAGGGTTTTTATTGCTCGCGAAGAGAAAGATCGGTGCAAGGTTGCCGATACCATAATGAACGGAGAACGATAACCTGAAGCCTGCCGCCTGGCGTTTTGGAATGACCCTCAAACGCATCAGAAGTCAGAGAGAATTGAACAGCTGGCCGATCACCCCTCTTGTCAAACCGGTAGTTGCCATACCAATCTGTACGACCCCATCCCCGCCCGCTTTTTGCGACGGGCGTGACTTTGGGGGAGTACAAGTCTACACGTTGTAGACCTAGAAACGCGCCCCTTCAATCTTGTTCAGCTGATAACAAAGGCCAGGCCGTTCCTAACCGGCTAAAGGTGCATCAGATGTAACATCATCACTCAAACATCGCCCAGTAGCGGGCGTCGCTGTTACGTATTACGTTCGATTCAGTGGGGTTGATGGCGTCGGCGTGATCCGACCAGAAACATCTTCCCTCAACGAACACGACGAAGTCAGCGCCCTGGTGCGCGTGTGCGGCCGAGCAGACCTAACTTGACCCCACAAATGGTGCCAATTTCTGGGTTCCTTTGAAGCAAGCTCACAACGCTCTGAATACACACAATCGTGCGGCACGAACCATGTGAATCCTGTCGGGAAGCTACACTCCCACAATTACTGAGTAGTTCCCCGTTCACCAAAATCGGAAGAGCCCCCTATCTCCGTCGTTGACCTGCACGATCTTGCGCTTCACCTCGAGCGATGAAAATCCTCCCTGGCAGGTGGTGCGCGTTGGGAGAAGCTGAGGCCAAAGATATGTGAATCATTTCAAGGAGAATCATTGTAATTCATTCCATGCAATAATTGTACAAAATCACTGCGATATAGCACTTGAAATTTCATGACCAACATTGGAATGTCAGCCAATGAAAATGACCTACAAATAGCATTATCTTTCACACAACTTGTCACTCCCTTCCATCACGAGCACGAGTCGGGTCGAGTCGCCGGCGTGACCAGGCTTTCACTTTCACTCTCATCACATTCTCGTTCTTTGCAGCCGGAAGGACGTATTTACTTGCCTAGTACCTTAACACCAGCATTGAGCTTGCGAATCTCAAACAAACCAGACTATCGAAACTCCAGATTCGAAGTCGATCAAGCAATTGACGCTTCAATTGTGTACCTTCGCCGCGAGGTACCGCTGGAGCTCTGGGCCGGAAAAGCGCCTCGCCATATCCAAAACCGATTCCCCTGCCGGACTGCCATCATTCACCGCCGCACCCCGATCCACCAAATACCTTGCGTTTCCGAACGACCAATGCGAGTAAGGTATCGCAGTAAATGACTGCTGTACAGACCATGTTGTCGGGGTCAACATTTCGCGTACGGCTCGTCGATGCTGCAAATGCAACGGCGCGAACCTCTGTTTGAGTTCATTCATTCGCAAGGAAACTGTGCATCCTGTTGAAACTATGCAGTGAATCACTGCGCACGTTGATCCCGACCGTATGGGCACTTCACAAAGTCCTACTCGATGTAGGAATCGCTTATAGCAGCTACAGCCTGTTCCCAAGTATTGAGACAAGTTCCTCTTTCAGCCTTCCTTGCTGGAACAGTTTCGTGAATGAACCGGCGCTGTTTCTGTTCATGTTAGCACTACTTTTCGACTGGAAGGCTACATATTTTGGTTCTGCTACGTCATATTTTGATTGGCAGGGAGACTGTGTAAAGATTTCATTATGTTTTACCCCTGAAATGGCCTCCCCTTCCTCCCCTTCACTCTATTTTCACCCTCTTAGAGTGAACAATTCACCTGGTTATTTCGAGGTCTCCTTTGACCACGGCTTGCATCAACGGAGTCCAGCCAACCTTGTTCTTGAGGGTCAACCTCGCTCCCCCGATCTGAACCAGATACCTTCGCTCCATCACAAATGCAAGAAGAACATCGGGTAATGGATGTGAGTTTCTTGGTTTCACCGAAGAAGTGTCGCCTTTATCTACGTAGCACATGGTCATCTAGACTCGAGATATATTACAGGCGAGATATCTGTCATACTTTATGCAGAGCATGCAGATCGAGACGAGGAATTCTTCGTTGTCACAGAAACCTGCAGCCTCGAAGAAAGAGTGAAAAGCCATTGATTCGGAGAAGAATGGGAGAGTGATCGGATACAGGGAGGGCCAACGGGGCATTGGGACTATGGTCAGGATAATGACGCACCCGCCGAAACGAACGTGGGGCAGGCTTGTCTATGTACAACGAGGAAACGGCAGAGGTGGGAAGGAACAAGGGCGAACACTCAACCACGGGGTTAGGACGCCTGTGATATCCGATATTCAGACAGCGTTATGGGTGTCGGACAGGGTCGACAGAAAACATTTGATTGAGTGACCGAAGGTCAAGGAAAAGACGAGGGAAAGACGGGGATTCCTGACAAAGTACATATCTGTGGAATGAAAGCGAGTGAATGCTTGGGGTCGAGTACGGGGGGACTACTACTGTACTGCAATGGTTCCCCTAGCTAGTCGAGCGGATTCACCCTCCTGGCTTCGAGTGGTTTTCGTTTCTATGGCGTTCCCCCTAGTTGGTTTGGTCGGGTGGCGGCTATCTGTTCCTCGACAATATACCAAAATTGATTGGCGATAGTATGTGGAGTCCACGTTGGGATAACCCGTCACGACACTCTGCTTTTCTCTGGGTGCGAACAAACTCACCTGTAGTAAAGTTCGGAACTCCCCCATCGCCAAGAGGTGCGATTCCCTGCTTGCGCGTACTCATCTATACCGTGTTGATTGGAAAATGTTTGTTGCGTTCTTGCGATAATGAAAGCGATAATTGGTGGTCCGTTGGTCTCTATAGAATACAAATGAGATGGGAGAACCCATAGCTGCAAGGGACCGCGTCGGTTGCAGTAAAATGCACCTGGTGAGTTCTTTGTTTCCAAGCACGGCGGCAACGCCAAGAGGAGACGTGCCCGAACTGTCCTGGAAATCCACCTGGCCAGAAGTGGACGAAAAAACAGTGAAACGTGCGGGGCCGAAATGCGGTGTTCCTCTGCTGCGATTCTGATGCTATTGGCCGTCAACTTCAGCAGACCAAGCAATACGCTTGATCTCCCTCTGAAAACGCCGACCATGAACGCAAGGTGCCAAGAGCCACCGAGGTATTCACTTCTCTAGCAATCTCGACGGCAAGGGATATTTACTGGTTTCAGGCACTACATAACACCACTTCATTAACACTCTACGTTTCGCAAAACGTTTACCGGCGGCACATGATACTGCACTGTCAGACTCAACACGCTGAGCACAACCGCAACACGCACAAGTGGTTTATATTGTAACCCCATTCCGATCGCTCACGAACCCCGCTAAGGATACCGACTTTCCAAGCAGCATGATTCCAATATACGACCGAAGATTCAGATACTGTAGTCGACGAGATAGCTGCATACAGTAGTTGGTGCTTCGCGGGGGGCGTATCACGACTAAAGTCCCATTTTTTGCTGGAGTGAAAATATGGGTGTGAAATGAGTGCTTCAATTCGAGCGACTCACGTCCGCGCCAGCCTCGACAAGGAGTCTGGCCACTTCCAGGTGCCCCCCGATGCAGCTCCGTAGAAGAGCGGTACGACCATTCTTGTCCAGGGACATCACAAGGTGCCCGTTGCCCCTCAGGAGTTTAGAGATGGTTGCGGCGTCGCCTGTACGGCGATCGATCATTTCGACACGACAGTCAAGGTACGGACTGATTGTCGTCAACCCGATTGATTTGTTCTCGCGGAGCATAGAAAAAATCAACACGGGAGAATGAAGTTCGAAAACTCAACGGAAATTAAGGCTGGTTCGATTGGAAATTCAGCAACTCCATCTTTCGTGTTTTCAAGCGATCACAGTGAGGTTTCGGAGCTTTATCCATAGCTTTTCCGAGAACAACCGACGTGTGCGCTGTTCATCGGTGCCATATACTATTGTTGGCTACAATAAGCTCGTGGTGGGTTCGCTGCAACTACCAGGGCCATCTTTTGGCCACAAGTAGTGCGTGCCGTGCCCTGGGCAACCTCTTGAGAGAGAGGAACGAAATGAGCAATGCCACGGTATTGCTGTCCTTCCTCAACCGAAGAGGTTTGGAATCAGGAAAATCCGACAACGATGCCATGGCCGACCGCGGGAAGAGCCACACCCTCCGCCGTTGCCTTACATCAAGAACCGAACGAACCTGAGTCCGCGGCCGACCAAAACTGATCTGAGGTGACTGCTCCTTCCGTCCTGAGGTAGCACTCCACGAGCAGGTGGTTCCTATCAGCAGCAATGTCCAAGGCCGTCAGGTTTTCGTTGTTAAAGGACGCCAAGTCCGCCCCAGCTTCAACCTGAGTTCAATTGAAATAGCAAATAACACATGACCACAGGGGGGGGGCATGAGGGGAGATGATATCCCTCATTAGCAATGAAAACAATGTTACTAACTGGGTTGTGTGTGATTCCAGTACGGTTTTGACCATCATCGAGGAAAAATTGGACCAGGTTTGAGCCCGGGCTCCAGAGAAAACGTGTTCCAATGTTCCATCACACGACTTCGATTGACCACACCGACAATGTGTTTGTGTCTACGGGGTTCCAACGCACCAGGACTTGTACCGTCGCCAGACTGCCGGCGTCGCACGCCACCATGAGCGGCGTCCACATGTCAGAGTTGGTCGAGTGAATGAGATCCTTGGCGCCATTAGCCAGCATCACCCTTGCATACGGAACCGATCGGGGACGAGGGGTGGGGAATGTCAGTTCGTCTAGCTCATATCATCGGATTGGTCAATTGGCGACTACGTAACCCTCTTCGAGACAAGTTACCCTCCCTTACGGATGCCACCAACACGTGAGGGATCGTTGTCGTATCTGCCGAAGTGGAAAAAGCAAAGTTGCCGCAGTTCTTTTCAACGAGCGTTTGGGTGGGCTACGGAGGGGCACTCCGCTAAGCGGAGCTCTACAGAAGGCAAACGTCTAGCAGCCAATCGCGCGTGCCGCGAAGAGATCAAGACCATCCCGTAGGGCCCAAGCTGCCCCGCAGGAATTTGGGCAGCACGATGCGGTTGCACATCTGTTGATGCAGGTGGACGGGCGCTCTTCCTCCGCTCGCACCTCTCGAGTACTGCAGACCGAAGGTGTAATTAGCACCCTACTTCCTTATTCACGGAGGTGGGGATGGGTGCCAGGCGAGATGTGTAATTCATGCGAACAGGCCAGGGGCGTTGTGGCAGGTACATATTTTGAATAAAAGGTGGATGAGCTTCAGTTTGATCATCGCGTACGTTTTGAGAGAAGAAAAAATGCAATAACTCCTGCAACAATGCTTTATTGTACACATATATTTACCCTAGAAGCTGATTCCGCTGTTCACACCACTTTCGAGGCTTTGCTAGGTGACGAGGGATCAAGTGAGATTGACAGCGCGAGCGAAATATTGCACGGGGGGCTGTACCCGAACATCATCCGCAAAACGTCAGGGTAGGTGAATCGGAGGTGGTGACCAGAGCCATCAACGAGCTTTTCTCGGTCGAGCCAACAGGTTAAGCGAGCTAGCACACGCATCACGGTGTGAGCAAATACAGCAGCACAGCACAATCGCTTGAAAAAACGTGTGAGTGAACATAGCAGTCGGTCGCCCGAAAATATCTTGGTTGGTGTTGTTCACCTGACGACCTCCGCGTGGCCCCCGCCGCACGCCCACATGAACGAGTTCGACCCGAACTCGTCGTCCCTGTCGTGCAAGGCCGCTCCGGCCTGCAGCAAGACCTTCACCACCCCGAGCCGACCTCCCCCGCTCGCGATCATCAAGGGCGTCCAGCCCTCAATCGTCCTGGAGGAACACCACACGCGAATATGAACAACCCGGAAGCGGATCTATGGACAAGGGTCATAGGCGTCATGGACAAGAGCCATGGGAAACGCTAGGATGGCACTCCCGGGTTCCCGATTTCCGGTTGTCGAAAGGCTCTATAAGAAGGTACAGCTTACAAGGGAAGGTAAGTTGGGGGGGGAATGTGCGTCGTTGTGGTAGGGCGTATTTTGCGGCAGCAGTCAGGTTCACCTGGCTGCAACGCTGGATGGTGGGGATACGCCGTTGACGAGAAGAGACGCCATCTCGGTGTCCCCAGATGCGCAGGCCACCATTAATGGAGTCCGACCTAAGCCCGGGAGCATGCGTTCGTGACGGGCCACATCCAACAGTAGTCAAGGGGGTTATAGCAAGGGAACTATTTCAGTCGCGCTTCGGAACTTGCCATGTCCCAGTAATGGTCAGGGGGTTGCAATGACAAGGAACGTTTCACTCGCGCGTCACATGTGCGAATACGATCGAAGTGTTTGGGAACGCCCAATGCACTGACAAGACGAGAATCCTTCGTCGGCGTCGATAGGTGTTTGCGGCGTTTCCCTACCGATGAACTCCGTGCACACCCGTGGCGGTGGATCGTTGGCCGCTTTGGCACCTCTGTCCCGACAGCTTGGCGGATCTACAGTATTTGTATTGTTTTGAAACATGTGGTTGACGTCTCTTCCCTCCGAGGTATTGTGTTCAGACTTGTTGCAACGTGTTCTTGGCTCTCGACTTATTTCCATGCTCAAGCGGTGCTTCTCAGAAGGACACTCCTACATGGCACGGCCGTCATTGATGTGTTGGTTCGTAGTTGCGCCGTGGCCATGCTCTCCAAAGGACGACCCTACACAATTTTCTTTTCTGAAGCATCACACCCGTACCCTCTGAATCCGCTTCGTCGATGGTTGCGCCCGCGGCTAGCTTCGCCCGCACTCCGGTAGCGTCGCCTCTCCTCACGGCTGCCCAGATGCCACCCAAGGTCGCCTGTATTGTACGATTGATTATTGACGTTGATCCATAGACTGCTCATGATTCGGTCGTTGTTGTTGTCGTTGTTGGTGGTGGATGTGGTGGTGATGTTGCTGATGACGATGGCGATGATAACGCTGTTAACTTGCGGTAAATATTACGTTTAACGATTGTGGTGTTGACGGGACTGGTGAGTATTCTCTTTCTGCTGTTGCTGTTGGCTAGAAGTCGTAACGAGAACTTCTTGCAACGACGAAAATTTCCGTGCCATCGGATCTATGACAGCACAAGACTTCCATCCCTGACTGGGCCAATCTTGCCATATAGACGAAGGGACAAACGCCGTTCAGATCAGTAGACCATACTATGGCAATGAAGTTTGTACGCAGTATGCTGAGCTCTACAACTTTGGGAGAGATCTGACGGCTACACTTACCAAATATTTAGGGAGGCGCTATGAGATGTCAACATAACAAGACTGAAAGAGCTTCATGGGCTATGCTTTCTTTACATTTCGTGTTATGGAGCAAGAGAACCGCTCCTGGGCAATCACAAAATCACTCCCCCCCCAGCTGTCTGCTTACCGACTGTTGTTGCTGCTTCTGCTGCTGCCTATCTACTCGTTCATTTGCTTCTTCGGGAATAGGGGGCAGCTCGTAGTAGTTGAAGGCTGCTGGCGTTGTTCCTGGCAGTGCCGATGGTGCCGGTTTTGATAGTGGTGCGGCTGGGGTTGCTACTACATCCGATGAGGTGGAACCCACTCCTGCTGCAGCTGGCCCCGCTCGTGATGATGCCGATGACAAGCACTCGTCTTCTGCCGCTCGATCGGCTTTGGTGTTTGCTGGGACGTTGGCATTCGACCGCGAAGCACATGGAACAGTTCTGGTAGCAGCGATGGGCGAGGGGTCAAGCAGCGCGCTCGACTCGTCGTCGACATCGTCCGTTCCAAGATCCGCCGCAGACTTGTTGACCATCAGATCTTTCTCCAAGGTACATTGCGGTTGCTGTTGCTTCTGCGTCTTGGTCACCTCGTTTTCGGCCTCCGTCGTTTTCTTTCTTTGATCATCGCCCCTCGTGTCTCGCTGGTTCTGCTGTGAAACCGTCTGGTCCGTCGTGGGGTCAGCCGCAGGGACACCCTCGGGCAACAACAACGTGTCCTCTCCGACTTCATCTACGACCTCTCCCTCTTCCTCCTCGGAGTGAACGCTTCCGGGATCCCGCTCTCCAATACGAAGAGCATCGTTGGGTTCTTCGATCGCGAAACGGACACGACGTTGCTCGGTCGGCAGAACGGGGAGTGCGGCGTTGCTCTTCAATGCGCCCGGTTCCTCGTCTTCTGTGCTTCCGTGCCCACCAGGTCCCTTTCCTTTGGCCCCTTGGCAAAGCCTTTGGCCTTGGCCGGTAACGTGTTGTCGTGGCATGACATTGGGAAGAGTCTCGTCGTCTTCCTGCCCCGCCACCATCGTGCTTCCGTCACCATGTTCTACACTATTGCCTTCATCCCCCTGTTTCTCACCTACCACGTCCGTAACAGGTTGGCGGCCTTCCGCAGCCCCACGTTTCGCCACTTCTGGTGCTTCTGTGGATAACGCTTCCAGGGAAGGGTCCATCACCATCCCGTCGTCTGCCACCGTTCGGTGGCCGTCGAGATCACCCTTGCTATCCTCCGCCGCCCCAAGACTGCCACCGACGCCTGTAAGCAAGCCTCCCGGTGCGCTGGCTGAGTTCTGCAACTCTCCTTCTTGGCAACCCCCCCCACTGTTCACGACAGGCGGCTGCACGGCTGCGGTAGCACGAATCGTCTGTTGTGTATTTTCGCTGAGTTTCGTCGGCGACTCGGACCTGATGTCGGATGGGCCGGTGACGGGATCTGGTTCTCCTGGCTGCGGGTTTGGCTCTGAGTGGTCTCCATCTTGAAAATCCTGGAAACTTCTCTCGCTACCGCTACATTCTTCGGCCGCCGCCAAAGAGATGTCATCTGCAATGTAATTTGAAGGAGAACGGGTTAGGTGAGGGTTCGAGAGTAAACCATTGCAATGTGGACAAAGTCATAGGCGAAAGGTCACTAAAGTTTCCACTCTCAACATTCACTTACCGGTGTTTGAACGTCCTGGGCCTTTACTCAGTGTTGGGGTGATTGGATCGTGCGGAATATCAACCCTGCCTGGGGCGGTCGTCCAAGAACTCTCGAAAGGGGCAATGCCTCCAGCTGTCGAACCTTTCGCTTTCATGTCCTTGTCGATCGCTGTGTCCTTCCTGTCGACGGCAGCGACGTCTTCTTGTGGGATTTTCTTCGCGGCCGTGTTGCGGGTCTCAGCAGTGACTGCTCCTGCGTGCGCCACGATGCTCTTTTCTTCAAGCCTTGACGGTACGTCATGGGTGTAGCAGTTCGCCGTGGCGGGGACTGTCGCCACCGTGCGGCCGACTCCGTGGTCTGCTGGAGGTATAGCTTGCTGTTGTAGCTGTGCCTGCTCGTCATTCGGAAGGCATCCCTGGTGTTGCGGCAGCTGCTGCTCGCCGTTTCGGTGCTGGTACTGTTCACCCTCCTGTTGCTGCAGTTGTGGCTTCGGGGGCTGCGTTTTCTGCTGTCTTTGGATCTGCTTCTTTGTCGCGTCCACCCGGCTTTCGGTAGGTGCGGCCAAGGCGCCCTCAACAATAACAGCGGCGCCACCACCACCACCGCCACCCTTGCCCCGTTTCTTTTTCGGCCTATTCCTCTTCTTCCTTTGCGGTGGTTGCTCCTCTTGCTGACCCGTCGTAATCCTTGGCTGATCGTTTCTTCTGCTTTGAGCCGTTGCCGTTGCTTCTTGCCCCCCGGCACCTAGAGGCGATACAGCAGTGGCCGAGGGTCCTGGTCCTTGCCTGGCTCGTTCTTGTCGCCGCCCACCGATCTTGTGGTTTGCACGTGACGCCATCACCACCCCTTGGAAACGCACCTCCGACGACCCAAACAATGCGCGATGCGAACTCACTTCACCCTTTTTATTTTGCTTCCGTGCACCACGTGAATGGTGTTCGGGGGATCCTACGCGATGGAGGTCTTGCGGTGTTCAAACTATTCACCGAAGATACTCGAGCAGAAAAGATCCCGCTTTGTCGTTTCAAGAAAGGATTCAATCCTGATTTCTTGGCGAACGACACCTGGCAAGTGCTCAATCAACGCCGGAATAAAGGCAGACACGCGATACCATATCAGTCTTGGTGCGTGTATTACTCGCTGCGTCCGTCGCAATGCGGTGTGCTCTGGCGATATCGATGCGCGTTTGTTCAAACATGAAACAGCGAAAAAAAACGCCGCCTGGAGTTCGTGTAGACATCGCGGATGTATTATCTAGACAGTCCCGAGATGAGCGAAACACCAGGCACCACACTGCTGTGCGTGTCGCATGCATCTAGCGAGCGCAAGCTTGACATGCAGCGCATATTGCGAGCATGATTCTGCGGGTGGGTTACGGTTGTAGTGTGGCGGCCCGTCTGTGCCCTGCGCGAGCTCTAGCAGCTGCTCGGAACAGCAGGACCGGGCCTGCGCTGCTCCTGCTGTACACGCGGCCTAACTTGGCTTGCCATGAGCGGCAGCAACGGCGAGCCTTCAGCTCAACGCCCGCAAGACGTGAAGTTACTGCTCCTCCATCCGCTACCCGGGCACCACAAACACTGAGGTATCGCTGCCCTCCCTTCACCAGGTGTGTTGTTCTGTGTTTCACCAGTAGCAGACACGCCTCGTCTAAGGTCGGGCTTCCACCAGCAGCAGAAATCAACGCTGTGAGGGCGAGGGGAGAGGATATGGACGGCGGTGGTCGCAGATTCGGCGCGGAACCGGAGGAAGGAGAAGAGGGGGGGCTTACCAAATGGCAGCAAGGAGAGCGTCGCGATCTTAAAGGAGTCAAACAGAGGGTCGTGGTTGGTATGTCCGGAGGGGTGGATTCCTCGGTCGTGGCCATGCTGCTGCATCAACAGGCGAGTGAAGTTTGGAGTGCATGCTACACAGCAGTCAGTAACGGTCTTTGTACAATCCAAAGCAATACTGAACCCACGGTACGCATTCATCCTGGCTGCCTAGGACCCCTTATGGATGGAGATGGGTTTTGTTCCTGTAGGAAAAATTAGTACTGTAGTGTAGAAGCAAAAATGTTCAATGTGTGCAGTTCGTTCATGATTGTGGCATTGCTGATGACTTTGCCCCATCCTGGCCTCTAAACCAACGAAAGGAGACAGGGCTTCGATCATAGCGTGGAAGGCGCGCGTATGGTTTGTTGCTGTGCGGAGGTCCGACGACTTTTGCATGAGAGAACGTAGACTACAGCAGCTTCCTCCTGTGGTTGCACTTTCTTAGTCTATTGGTCACGCATACGCCAGTGCATACCTTGTTTGCAGCTGGCCGCGTGTCACGTTCGGAAATCGCAGGTCTCATGCTTCATTTGCTCACGCTGTGCCACCTCATGGGTCTAGTGCTGCTGGCCTCTCGTGGGCTAGCTTGGGTTCCGTACCCGTCTGACCACTTCCCAAACTCTTTGATCGATTGATCAGCGGGATAATCTTGCGAGAGCTTTCTTGTAGGAGTGTTTACGGGGAAGAATAGGATGGACGGGAAAGCAACGGATTCAGCATGCCCTCAACATGAGACCGAATTCTGTGAGAAACAAACAACAACCAAGTTCGATGTGAAAGTAGAGCCTAATGTGTCATTCCCTCTCCTCGTCGGTTACCGCTCGCCCCCCTCCGGATTGGGTCGAAACAACAGGGCTACGAAGTCGTGGGCGTGTTTATGCGCAACTGGGACGAACAGGATGAGACCGGGAGCGACGTATGCACGGCCGACACTGACCTAGAGGACGCTAGAAGAGTGGGGTACCACCTCGGCATCCCGGTGAAAACGGTACGCTCGTGCTTCCAGTAGAATGTTGGGGGAACGTGGTTTGTTGGTAGTGTGCTTGTGCTGTTGCTGTTGCTGTTGCTGTAGCTGCTGCTGCGGCTGTAGCCATGCGCTCGGGTAGCCCTGTGCTTATTCGCGCCTTTTAATCGTGCCCGCATGACCGTTTAGAATGTTCTGCTGTTGACCTTGTGGATGATGTAGCCGTGTTTCGCGGTAGGATTGACAACGTGGGCGAATATATCACAAGCGATGGCTCCGCGATATGGATGGAGTTTCGGAACACTCTCGGCGCGATGTTACGAGACTCAAACCTCATGTATTATCACAACTCTTCTCGACGTGGAGGTTTCGAGGTGGTCGGGCTTTGTCGTGCCACGTTCGGCTGGCTGGAGAGTGAAATGCCTTGTTGATCCCCTCCTCCTTTCAAACAAGCCACGAAACGTGTTGAGTCCCTTCCTCTTCCGAACAGTTCAAAGTCCCTTCTTGTAAACAGTTCACGAAACGTCTAGTGGGGGCAAGGGGAGGAGGAAAAATGGAGAGGGTTCCTTCTCTATGGCCAACCTCTCGATCCGTGCTGGTGAACTGACGAAGGTGGCTGCAGGAACCGGTGGCAATGCGCGCGCAGTACCAGGGGATATTCCTCTGAAATCACCGTTCTCTGGAACGTTCTCCCCGCATGCCGTGTCGTGTCGTACCAACAGGTGGACTTTTCTCGGGAATACTGGAACCAGGTCTTTGAGCCATCGCTCCAAGAGTTTGCTAGGGTGAGTCTCGGGACCAACACCTTCATGTTGCAGTGTGCGTTTTTTCCTTTGAATTTTTTCCACCCAAGAGGAAATGTGGCGTGTTATTGCATTTGCTATGTGTCAGATGCCGTCACTTATGCCGATTTTTTTAGAGAAATGAGTGTATGGTATGTTCTAACACTTGCTGGGCGCCCCCGTGCCCACTGCAGGGTTCGCCAGCCTAACTTTCTGGTGTTCCGAACAACTCCAGGTTCCTCCAGGTTCCGCCTGCTTAAAATTCTCGTGTTTTTCATTGCGCCCTCGTCCTGACGCGACCTTGCCTGTTTCCCGTCTAATCACAGATCGAACAAATCAGATCGAACGCCCATCTTTTGTTTAAGCGTCGGTGCATGGTGACGACCGGTTATGATCATGTGAGTTTTTCTTTTTCATCACTTGAACGAAAACCAGATCAATGAACGCCTACACTATTTGTGCGTCGCCTATGCATGGTGAAATGGTGAACGAAATGGCAGTGTCGCACGCCAAATATGGACGTTGCGTGCAACCGCTTCATCAAGTTCGACGCTTTCAGGGAACACGCGCTGGGCAGGATGTCCGCCGACTTCGTGGCCACCGGTGAGTGGGTATGTGTAGGACTTTTTCTCTTTTGGTATCGCACGGAACCCCCGATACCTCCGCTTCCGATGCATGGTGCCCCCGTTTCGTGTGCTTGCTTTTGATTGGCCACTGTGCTGGTGTCCTTGCTGGCGTTCTTGTCACCGCCGATCAGTAGAACCCAGAGGGGTGACAGCGTTTAAGCGCTGTGGGGGGAGGGTATACTCATAGCCGTGCATGATGTAGTCATTAGAACATTGACCTCGCATCCCTACAATGACGGGACGGAGCACGCCGGGTTATCGCCGGACCAGGCTCAGCGCTGTGGTATGCTACCTCTTCCGAAAGGAAATGTTTTTTGCCAAGTGACACCACTTTCTGGGGTCCTTCGTTCAGTCACTGTCTCCAAGACGAACTACCACAAAAATCCCGTGTATGCATACGTGTGTTGTTTTCTCTTGCGCCATCCATGTCTGCGCGGTGCAACACCCGCCAAGGCCACTACGCCAGGACGGCACCAGGGCCCGGCGGGGATTGGTCCAGGCCGGTGTTGAGACAGGCGGAGGACGGAAACAAGGACCAGACGTACTTCTTGTCCGGCGTGCCTAGCGAGGGGCTTGCCAAGGTATTTTTTTGGCTGCATTTTTCTCTTTTGCGTTTCTTCTTCGCAACAAATGTGGAACGCCGGCTGCCAAAAGTGAGGTGTGAACATATTCCTCCTTTGCACTGCTTCCCGCTCTCCACAGCAGCTGCTGCTCCAGCTGCCTAGCCCTTGACATGATTTTAACCAATGGAGGGATAGCGGAATCATTTTTTGGAAACCCATCGGTGGATGTATTAGGGCCCCTCGCAGTGTACAACACAGCAGTGGAATCGGGCTTGCAAAGACTGTGCCGTCCTTGCTACTGCTGCCTCTTGTTGGCCTTGATACCCTGATACTGTGAAGCCACCGAGCTAGGATTTGCACTAGGTTTCTCATCCGTCGTGGAGGTGACCCGCCTACTCCTCTTCAGAATTATGTTGATGATCGTCGTATTCTTTTCGAGAATCCTTCGCTGCGTAGTTTCTACCGCACTGCATGGTCGTTCCTCTCGAGAGCTTCAGTCCCTGGTCAGACAAGAATATTTCCTCGTTGTGCATGCCTCCCTTCATTTTCGGTCGTGCCCTCGTGCGTGGGCGCAGACAGGTCGGAATAGGATACAACCGCACGCACTTGCACGGACATCAACCGGTAGTGAAAAAAACACTTGCTTTACAACCGCTTACTCTCTTCTTGATTGATATGCCGTCCGTCGAGTGTTGTTTGTATGTGACAAACCTTGTGATAAGATTGCGACCACTGTAGATGTCCGCATTCGAAGGGCCAATCCCGATGCCACAAGGTGCTAAGCAAGCGGGGGTCCAGGTGGCGTACAATCCGACGATCACCCAAAACAACCAACAGCAACAAGAACAATAACAGCAACCAATCCGGACAGGTTTTGTTCCCGTTGGGAGGCCTCACGAAGCCCGAGGTACGCCGCCTTGCCGAAGAAGGCGGCCTTCCGGTAGCCCGGAAGCGGGAGTCGATGGGAGTGTGCTTCGTGGGGAAGCGCCGGAGCTGGGCGAGCTTCATATCTCAGTACCTCACCCCGAGCCCAGGTGCGCATCTCCTACGAAATGTCGAGTGTGCAGTACGGTGCTGGCAACTAACCTCAGCTCCGCACAGATCGGAGAGCAACTGGTCGACAGGGTACCTTGTGCAAGAAGAAGCGGCATTTCGTCGAGCGGCACTTCGTCGATTTTTTGCGTTTGTCGGAACATGCGAGCGATGGGTGAGCTTTACTGTTGTCCTCGTCTTTCATGCCCTCTCTGCCGTGCTTCCATGTGGCGTTCCCCCGCTCCTCGAAGCGATATATTTTCTCCCTCACTGCACCCCNCCCCCCCCCCCCCCCCCCCCCCCCTCCCCGGTTTGCCAACCCCCTACAGGAAACTTCGTGTGCGTAGACACCGGAGACGTCGTGGGCCGACACGACGGCGTACAGCTCTACACAGTAGGTGAGGGCTAGCCGCGTACCGGCGCGGCTGGTCCCAGCAGCGCTCAAGTACCCAGTCAAGAGTTGAAGCTCAAGAACAGGAGAGAGGGCAGGATGGCCGGCCTGATGTGGCGACTGCCGGGCATGTCTCTTGTTGCCCAACGAATTTTTCGGAATGGCGGGGTGGGCGCACGCACAACGCTCACCACAAAAAACATGCACACAGTAGAACTTGGCGCTCCTCTTCCTCCTTTGCTAATCCCAATGCTCCGTCCTCTCGAAGACCCGTGGTCAATGGGCTTAGGCATGCTTAACATGAGAAGCCCCCCCCC